CCAGTGTTTCCTCACTCTACCCCGGATTGTGTCGTCCGTATAGGGTCCCGAAAGAACTCCTTCATGACACCTGGAAGCAGACATGTTTGTTAGGTGTATTTCCATTCCCTGGGAGAAGCTTCTATGGAATAACAGATTTCAGTTAAATAATTAGAAGGTTCGAGAGGGAGGTACAGTATCTTATTGCTGTCTGGTTTTGGCATTGTTTGGATAAGCCTGACATTAATATTGAAGAATTAATATCAAAGCCCTGCAAAGTGCCCCTGGGCCGTAAAAGTCATATTTCCATATTTTTGTGATCTGGGTTTGTGTTTGTGTTAATCTGCCAGTGTGTGTTCATGCTTTAACCCCTGTGAACTGTGAACTACGAATATTAGCTGCCATGTAATGCTCTACATTACTGCTAAATCACCAACATGAAGATCAGATACTAGGAAATAGTCCACATCAATTTAGAAAGGATTTTGCATATATAACATGTTAGAGCACCAACAGTAGTGGATACACACAGAGCACATGGCTTGTTGTATTCAGATTTTAAAAAGGGTTTTGATGGATTTCCCCCATAAAAGATTAATTCTCAATTTAAAAGTGGTATGCATTCAGAGAGATGCAAGTGTTTGTGTTGAGAACTGAAGGGAGCTGAAGTAAAACCAGTTTTAATCTACAGTATATCAATTGTGGTAAACTTAGTTACTGAGTCAAAGTTGCATATAGTACCAAATTAGTAGGATTAGGAAACATTGTGGAAGCAAATGAAAGTCAAAAGGATTTAGACCGAATTTGTTACAAGGGTTATATTAAAGTTGTTTAATGCACCAGTAATGCCAAATTTACAGTACAATACTGTGTACAATTTTGGTCACCACATAGAGAAGATATTGCTGCTCAGGAATCAGTTCAGATAAGATCATCCAAATACAACAAATATATCTATATAAAAGTGGTCTGGTATTTGTATTAAAGTTTGTCGAGCAGTTCACAGAAAGAAATAAGGGTTTGTATGCAATCCAGCATTTAATTGTCATTTATGACATTTAAAAATAAATGACAAAAATATGTTAAAACAATTTCAACAGATTCACTCATGTTATCTCAGTTCTGTCATTCATCAAACCTCAGAGTTTCATTGCATATTTTATAAAATGTCTGCATTTTGATTAAAAAATAGCTTTTCAACTAACAATTCGAAACTAACTAAGCGTATTTTAAAGCAAAAATCAATCCTGTACTGTGTTTAAGATGAAATTGTAACACCTGGAACTTGTGTGGGTTACCCACATTGTAAAGACAGTTTATTTCAGTGGGATATATCATATTAGCCACAAATAGTCTCTTTACCCTCACCTTGTACATAATCATGTTATTTGTTATTCTGTGCTTCATTGAAGCAAGAAAATATTTATTCTGTTTCTTAACATCATACTGTGTTTCTGGAGATTTGATCAGATTTATGTTTTCATTGAGATTCTGTTTGAATGGTAACGTACACCAAGTTATGAGTTTCAAACTAATGGTCTGAATGTTTAAACATTTGTCTCTGAATGAAATACAGAGGGAGATGGAGGATAATAGAACTTTGTACTCAAATAACTGTGAAATGTCTTGCCAGTGAAACGATGGCACACGTATCTATGGGGGTACAAGATCCAGGTACCCAGCAACAGCAACAATACATACCAGAGAGCGCTCCGTGGCAAACAGGCGAGATAAAAGAAATAACATTGTTTTATTTTAGTCACAATATGGAACATCCACCCGTTACATTGTCTGGAATTCTACACTGTAAATGATAGGCTTATGTGTGTTGGGCACTGACATCCCCACACTTACAGCAGTAAAGGTGATATGCTTCACAATATTTATGTTAATTGATTCTAATCTACAAAAATCTTTTTGTAGATTTGGATAACATAATAAAGATCTTCACTGCTTCAAAATAAATACAAAATGCTGGAATAATTCTAATTCATTAGGCAGTGGTGGTTACATTGGGCAGTGGCAGTTATTTCTTATTTGCTTTCTTGACATGAGACAGATATCAGTTTTCCTTTAAAGGAAATTATCCTGGATATTAATCAAAATGCAATTTAATTATTTCACAGTTCAGAGAACATATCAGTTACATAACTGTAGACATGATTCTATGCTTGCCAGATGTATTGAATTTATGTCTTCAACACTTGTGTGATTGATGTGTACTATGAGTAATGCATATGTCCACAAGCCTAGTAGTGTTGTTTTTATTGTGTCAATGATATTACATCTCGTGCTTGAATTTTGCAACAATGTGCATGAAGTTCTGCGTTAACACGCATCTATGAAAACTGTTAAAATGGGTTTC